CGTATCCATCACGCATTCATTATCAATCCATCATTCATTCATCGATCACCAATCTGGCTTTCAGCATCCTCGGCATGTGACGTTTCTCAATTTCAAGATTCCCGCCATGTATTCCAATAAAAGACGATTCGATACGCATTTCGACAGACAGGTTGCGATGCGCTTCAAGGACGGTTTGATTTTAAAGCGGAACGATTCAGTTCGATTCAGCGTGATGGCGATTCAATGCAAGAGTATGATGCAAGGAGTGTTTCGTTGTCATTTTATATACAGGGGAAAGAACTTAGCGGAACCATAACGTGTTATTTTCTTCCAAGGTATACATCAACAAAAGACGATTCGATAGTATGTCGACATAGCATAGATCAGATTCAATTTGATTCACTGCATTCACGTCTTTGTAAATCCAAACCGATTTTTCCGATTTCAATCGTCCCCTAAGTCGAGTCAGCCTCAATGTGGCGCAGCTGTACAAAAGAATATCAATTTCAAATATTATCATTTCCGGACAAAGCCATCAAATTTCAGTGTCAGAATGACATTCGGTGTTGTTGCTTTTTTTGTTGTTGTTGTCGCTGTTAAATGTCAAAACGGCTCGACTTTGGCCTGAACAGTATGTCAGGGTTAAAACGATGAACATTTTTTCATTCAGCAGTAGCTTCCCAGAACTTCGGCAATGAGAACACAGGGAAAGCTGTTGACAAATCATCCCGTCCCTCTCACCTTGCCGCATTGTTGTCACAACGAGCTGCGCTGACCAAGGTCCCCTCAGGTGCTTCGGCACGCGATTATCTCCCTGCCCCCTTTGTCTTATCGTCTCAGAGCAGAACTCCTGGATTGAATCGTCCAGAAATGATTACCCTGGCACTTAGCATTCGCGTTCATCACTGATTGTAACCAGTGCACAGGAATATTTCCCGGGTTGCTCTCGAGGCGTCTCTGGCAATCAAGCTGCCTGTCAGCTGATGTGGAATGTCGCGGGCGGCGACGGCGGGTGCTTACGCCGCATTTCTGGCCCGCTGCCTTGTTTGATTCCTGCCTGCCAGTGTTGCCTCCGGCCGCTGCTTTGTTAAGGACGCATTCTCCGCAGAGTCAGGTTAGACTCAATTTCACAGACAGGTCTGCGCCGCTGTGGGAGTGGTCACAGCCAACTTCAATCATGGCCAATCAGTGACTCCTTTTCGTTCCCTGTAAATTTGACACGCTAGTCTAGTGCAGGAGGTCACCCCAAGGACCTCATGAGCAACCCGTGGGCCTGTTCTAAAAATAGCTCACCAGTGAAAGGATCACTTGAAAATGATATTTGCAGATATCTATAGAATTTTTTTTGTTTTTTATTTATAGAAATAGTGTTGCATCGTGCCATTGATTCCATTCATATGAAATCATTGTTGCTTATTTTTGTGAGAAATGATAAACATGATCTTATATTAACCATTGCAGCCTTTAAAATGACCTCGGATATTGAGCGACATACTGCTTCACCAAGTCAGACTCTCTTATTTACAGCCTGTTCTGGTAAATTTCCATGACACTTGGCATCAAATAAATGTGTTATGACAGCTAAAACAGCCCTTTTAAGATAATTTATCGTGTCAAGTGTGGCGCGCCGTCTCTCAAGCTGGCTAATTGAACGCATACCGCCCCTTTAAACGCAGACGTACAGTGGCTGGCGATTGCTTTTTGATTGATGCGCCAGCAGGCGCTAATTGGGAGGCTCCTGGCGTCAAATTAGCCAAGCTCGTCTTTGTGGTGGTGATGTACGACGGGACATGACGGGTGACAGGCACTCGCGCGTCCTCATTGTACCAAGTCAAACAGGACCGTCCGTTGGTTACACAAGGATAATTGTGCTGACTTTTGATTGGCACTGTCTGAGATTTATTTGCACAAGCGCACACCCAAGGTTTTCCTTGGCTGGAAAGGCGGACGTAACCTTTGCGAGGCCTTTGCTTGATCCATTTGTTATACCCTCTCACCTTTGCGAGTGATGGATCACGACACAGAGGGAGGATTATCTTGCACCGCTCCCGCCCGTTGAAGACACCAAGTGGCGACAAGGGTGCTCTTGTTTTTTTTCAACATGTACGATGCCAAATTCTTAAATTTATGGTTCAGCACGCAAATTGGCCGAATCAACCAAATACGAAAAACGGGCACGCTTTTGAGTTTTTGGCCAACACCCTCCGGTGACGAAGTTTGACAATTGCGCGTAAACTCCGATGAACTTTGTGATCCCCACACGTCTTCATTACTCCAAATTATTCTGACGATCCAAACTTTCCTGATTCGTGTCCTTGCGGATCGACGTTGACAATTAGAACGATAAATCTTAGCAATTTACTTTTCGGTTCTTTTACCGACTGGTTAAATGACGAGAGCGAACGAGTAGCTTACACAATCAACTCAAGTCAGTGAAATGTAATTAGAAGGGGAAAAAAGGGGCGCGGTGGGGAAACCACACAGCAAGGCTCAAATTTGATTGATTGCTTGTGATGCCGAGAAATGAAAAGAAATGATCAATTTGCATCTTAATCACATTATTTGCACCACTTAAATTAATTCGTTAGTCTTGATTAGTTGAGTATTGGAGTGACGGCGAGTATGTAAAAGCAGCAGAAGCACCTTGTATTTAATACTTTCGTCATACTGTATCATGATGACATCATGCTAACCAAAAAAAAAAAAAAATCTAAAAACAAAGCTGCGAGTCGCCGTGTTTGAGCAAAAGACGATGTATCATGATGACATCATGCTAACCAAAAAAAAAACAAAAATCTAAAAACAAAGCTGCGAGTCGCCGCGTTTGAGCGCAAGACGAGCCGGTCCCGCAAGCGTTGCGACATTTGGCCGCGGTGAAACTGTGGCACGGTGATGGATGTGTTGCACATATTAGACTCGCGTCACTTCTGTTTCTGCCACGAGCAAAGCTAAATAATTGAAAACTTCCAGATCCACATGCAATATATCATCTGGACCCTCGCCCTGCCCCAATCCCAAAAGAAACTGTTTCTGCCTCACTTTTTGTTATTTTAACAGAGGAGCTCGCACAAGGCAGCATTGGCAGTATCCAAAGGAATAATAGCTTCGTAATAATTCATATACCGTATTTTCGGCACAATAAGGTGCACCTGCAATGCATGGCCTATTTTAAAACTGTGTACATTTATAGGGCGTGCCGCATTATAAGGCGCATAGAATAGAAGCTACAATCGTGGCTGTGGTTACGTTATGCATCCACTAGATGGAGCTACGCTAAATGGAATATACAGTACAGCTTTATTTCTTCAGATTGATCCATATATGAGGCACATCGGATTTTCAGGCGCACCGTCGGCTTTTGAGAAAATTGAATGCTTTTTTTTTTTGTGCGTCTTATAATGTCGAAAAAAATATATATATACTGTAGACACCAATCATTTTTTCCACTATAATTATCGCTAGTAATATAATTAAGCTTTCATTGTTTTTTTTATATTATTAATTTTAGTGGTCAATATTTTCTCAGCTTTCGTCAACTCTCATAACCTTGTTGGATTCGCCACCAAATGTAACTGTTGCAGCTTGAGGGGGGGGGAACAGCATCAAGTTGCGCAAACAGGCTGATGAAACCGTAAACACTCCCCGGGGGAGGTAATGGAGCGCCTGACAGGTTGGTGGCGGTCTGACCGCCCTTAAGGTCCGGAGGCTCACTTACGCGCGTCGCGGCGTCATTTATCAGAGCGGGCCGCCATCTTGTGATCACACTGCTGACTCCCCGTAGGAGGTCTTCGCAAGGGCGATTATTTAGCTCCTCACTGCTGAGGTGATGCCTGAAACGCCACAGGCGGCCCACAACGCACAAAGGAATACGCAGTCAAGAACAACACAGAAAGAAGAAACGCAAAGCAGTCAAGAATATTCATTGTCAGAAACTGACTGTTCCCTACAGCAGTTCCCTCAGCAAAATCCCCCCCACCCCCAAAAAAAAAAAATGCTGAAGAAAAAAATGGAATCCAATTTTTGTCCCCAAAAAATATTTCTATGCATCACCTGGATTGTGAAAAAGTCACCGTATATAACATTTTTACTTCTAATATATAAATATTTTTTGTTCATTCAAAAATTATTGCTGTGCCCTCACAAATTCAAGTAAATACGTTTTCAAATACTTTTATTTTTAACAGAACTGTAGTCGGTGTACATGTGTAACAACATCAATTATGTAATTAGTTGCATAAGTGCAGTCAGCAGCTTTGCATTAACATTTTGTGTCCAGTAGCACATGACTTTTTACTCTGTGTGTGTGTGTGTGTGTGTGTGTGTGTGTGTGTGTGTGTGTGTGTGTGTGTGTGTGTGTGTGTCTGCCACTTGTGAGTTGCTCAGGAACAAGTTCCAAAAAGCAAAATGAAATATTTAGCTGTGTGTGTGTGTGTGTGTGTGTGTGTGTGTGTGTGTGTGTGTGTGTGTGTGTGAGTGTGAGTGACACCAAGCGAGCAGTGTTTCTATTCAAAACGGTGATGCAAGACGCATGTAAACACGTCCACCCAAGCATTCAGCCATTTTGTCCCAACTTTTCTGAGCTGTGCTGACAACCACACGCTTAAAAAAAAAAAAAAAAAAGTTATAAATATTCTCACACACACAGGGCACTTTTATCATTGCATTTTTTTAAAATATATTTTTTATTCTTCAAGAAAGCTAGTGGCTGTGAGTATTCCTCAGTTTTATTTCCACTCAATTCTAAACATTGTATTTAATTAATCAATTGTTTATTCAATTCCCCCCCTATTGTCCCCCAACTTAAAATAAAAAACTACTCAGCTAATAGTTTTTTAGCATTAAAAAAAAAAATCCAAGTGAATTTCCTCAGAAAACTACAACTAGTATGATATTTTACTTTTTAGGGTGCTTTTTATTTTATTTTTAAACGTCATGTCATTTGAGCTCCATTGTGTCCTCGGCCAGTTGAGCACCGACAATGCCTTCAAAGCACTTTCCTATTTGCGTGGCACTTTCAGGATGAAGAAATGACACCTGCTCAGTGGGCGGGACTTCACACGCACGCCTCACATCAAGCACCTGGCTTCACTTGAGTGGCGCAAGCAGCTCACCGTCAATCAGATGATGGGCTGCACGACCAGCAAGGTGCTTCCGACCCAAAATGGAAATGAAAATGAGAAGGCAAAGCGCCACGTGAGCGTGCTGCAGTCGCTGCTCGCTTTCACCAGGGAACGGGACCACCGAGAGGAGCCAAAAAAGAACAGTGTGTGGTTTTCCACTAAAAGCAAGAAGACTCTTCCTTCCGGTGAAATGAGGTTTCGAGATGAAAAGCAGCAAGTGAAAAGAGGAGACACATACAAGGACAAGTTTGACGCTCGGGTCACCTCAAGGTAGGAAATTGAAATATTGAAACTTTTAAACCCATCGTATAAAGATGGAATTCGATGGAATGAAAACGAATTTGTGTCACGCTTTGAATCATTTCAATGGTCATTGTGCTGCTGCCTGCCTTGGCCACCTGGGGGCAGTATAAGAGACAGATATTGAACATGGACGTCTGTAAAGTCAACGCAGCCCCTCCTCACAGAGGATCAAGAATATATGATTGTGAGTACAGTGGGATAGACAAAATCTGTGTCTAACTGATGACCATTTTAACTGCATTTGTGAAGGAAAAAATATTTTAACCCCCCAAAAAAGGAGTTTGCTCCGCCCCCACACCCCCCAAAAATGTTTTTTAAAGAATTTTCTAAAATATTTTTAAAAATCAGTGAATAGGTGAATCCACAGGTGCCGAACTGTGAGTATGCGGTAGTCCACTGTACTATTGTATTGAATGTCGAAATGTGTTGCTCCACTATTTCTTTTTTTAATACGTGTTGCTTGAAGAGTTCAATATGCTAAACATGATGTGATGATGATACAGTATACACTCATTTTAATCTGTCAAATACTGCAACAAGGTAAGCTTTGCACTGTTACTACCTGTAAAATATCACTGCTGTTCATAGCCCGGTGGCCAAAAAGCTAATTTCAACAGGCACATTTGTCTGTACCAAGGTGGGCAATGTACTTGTGTTATCCTGTAAATTAACACTCGACTGTTGTTCACCAAAATGCTAACATTACGACAGCAAGTAGCGGCCCAGTCGTTCGCTGTGGTGCGAGCAAGCTTACACTCGACTGTTGTTAGCCAAAAGGCTAACATTACGACACCAAGTAGCGGCCCAGTCGTTAGCTGTGGTGCTAGTAGGCTTAGCTAAAGCTAGCCAGCTTTGTCTGAACCGTGCTGCTCAGTCTCTCCTGTCTCCCTCGTCCATATGCGATGTAAACTTTGCGTCTTGACCTCTTTTGTCACTGTATGAAATCACTTCAAGGCACAGTGGGGTACATTCTTCTTGTACTTGCTTGACACGAGCAACTCCAACGACATGGGGTTGTCAATTACTTCAAGAGATGATTAAACAACAACAAATCCACCGAATCCTCAAGGACAAATTAATCATGGATTGTTATGCCCATCTCACTAATTCCCTCCACTCCAGACACAACAATCTTGGCAATAGCAAACCGTTGTCTTATGTACACAGTCTATTAAAAACTTTTTTTTTCTTTCTCCCCTATTTCTTCTGGTATTCGAAAATTAAGAGTATCCCGGTGGCTCTGGTGAGCACTTTCTACTTTGTATGGTGTGCCAACGTCTCCCAAATGACAGCATTACAGCTAATTGTGTATCTTCCCTCGCCTTTGTAATTATGTTATCAAAAGAGTGAAAACATAAAGCTCGCCACCTGTGGAGCATCTCGCTCTCATGGTGAAAGTAGTCGAGAAGGATATAATTAAGGCTTCCAAGCAAGCAAGATAATGTATAAAATTGGAGCATGTGCAGGGAGGAATTGTTTACCAGGAAACATCAGATACAGTATGAGTTCACAGAAACCATTAGGGAGTGTAATATTCAGACATGCGTTCATTTTTTTCATTTTTTTTTTTTTTTAATAATGGAACCGCAGTGCAGTGACCGTCAATGGCAGTGGTCCCCAAGTTTTAAAGCACCGCAAAGCAAAGTTTGTCTGCGTGCGTTATCAATATTTGATATTGTTGTGTTAGCGTAAACTGCACCGTAAGCATCCCATGAGTTTCTCTTTCACCCAAAAAAGTATTTAAAAAATAAAATAAGAAATATTCTTTCCAACCACACCCACTGTAGACCGAAACATCATCTTGAAACCAAGTTACTTGCCCACCTGTGACTTTCCCTGCGCGTTAGAGTCATAATGTCTGCAATCGTGGTTATATTTAGCTTTCAAATCCTGGATTTGCTCGGCTCCCTTTCGAAACCTCCCTCTTAGTTCAATTCAGTCCCACTTCATTTAACGAGAAAGCACTTTTCTCCTCATGAGTGAGAATTTTCTCCATCCCGCTGACAATGAGAGTGCATACGTGCTCCAGATGTGCCGACAGATGCAACCGCCGTGCTCCGATGACTCATCAGCACTCCCATTCTGCCTCATCAGATACCATATCAAGGCTCTGATCGGTCGCGGCAGCTTCAGCCGGGTGGTGCGCGCCGAGCACAGGACCAGTTGCCGACCCTTCGCCATCAAACTGATGGAAGTGGAGGCCCCCCAGGCCCGGGAGGTGTGCGCGGCCGAGCTTGCGGTGCTGCGGCGGGTCAACCACGCTAACGTGGTCCGCCTGGTGGAGGTGTTCCAGTGTCCCAGGCGCGTCTACGTGGTTCTGGAGCTGGCCACGGGCGGGGAGCTTCTGGACCGCGTCGTCAGCAGGGGGCACTACACGGAGCGGGACGCCGCCCGGGCCCTGCGTATGGTCCTGGCCGGGGTTGGCTACCTCCACTCCTTGGGGATCACCCACAGAGATTTGAAGCCAGAGAATCTTCTTTACTACCACCCGGGCGTCGATTCCCGCCTACTGGTGACGGACTTCGGGCTGGCAACGTTTGGAGGCGCGGCGTTATCAGGCAGCAATCAGAGTAAGTCACGTATAGTCAATTCAAGTCGAGTCCTTCATAAGTCCGAGAATTGACGATTGAAGTCTCTCTCGAATCGAGTTGTGTTGATCGAGTTCTTCATCTCTGATTTCAGGTGCCCAAAGTGGAGACGCCACTGGGACGAACAGCACTTGGTCCTTACGAACCACATGTGGAACACCGGAGTACATGGCCCCGGAGGTGGTGCTGAGGAAACCCTACTCTTGTGCCGTGGACATGTGGGCTGTCGGAGTGATTGCCTACATCACCCTGAGCGGGTGCATGCCCTTCGAGGATGACACCCAAACTCGGCTCTTGAGGTCCATCGTGGGGGGCAAGTACAGCTTTCGTGGAAATGTAAGTTACCAGTTTCAACACTTCTTCTGGGTTTTAGAGAGGTGACAAGCTTTATGATGAGGCAGGACGTTAGTCTCATGGGTGGTCCCTGAAATACTTTGAATCTGTTTTTCTTGACCATCGTTCGTAGTTCGTGCTCTTGATCGGTGTCCCTGAAAATGTAACCATCCGCAGCTGTAGTTAGTCCCGCAAGCAAGATAAGTCGGTGAAATTGCTCTTCCTACCCGGTCAATCAGTCATGCCGGAGGGAGCCATTTTAGAGGGGCGCCACCACCATGGGGAGAACCAGGTGGGATCCCCAGGGTTTATAAATTGAGTTTGTAAGAGCACTGAAAGAAAAAAAAAAGAATCGGGTTTCTTTTCACGGGTCGTAGTTGTGCTTCTTACCTGTGGCTGTGACTTCCTTTGGCTGGAGTTGGTCACACCTCGGCCATCGCAGTATTCCCACAAGCAGAAGTTGAACGCCTACAAGCTCTTTGCGAGTGTAAATTGGAAAAATGTACAGTGAGCATGTCGCAGCAGAGGCATTCGGGGTGTGTGTGCGCGTGTGTTTGTGAAGAAAAGAACACGGATATGCTAAATTTAGCCCAATCTCCCGCCTGCTTCAGCGCTTGCGAGAAGGCAACAAAAGGGCACCGCGTGTTCTCCGGGAGATGAGGTGTGTATTTTTAACAGTAAAACTCTTGAGGTGAGTTTGGCACTGTGCGTTCCCGCTTATCTCGGATTATTCACTTGCCCATAATCTGACATTTTAGTCCGAGGCCTTGGAATGTTATCCCGGTGTTACTTTGATACGCCACCGACCAAACAACAAATCCACGGAATGCTCGGGTTTTACTTGAGTTTCACGTTGGGTTTTGCCATGTTTTGTGTTGTCTACATTCTTGTTCATGTTAGCACTGACCTACATTGAGAACCTCCATTCCAGTGTTTGTAAACACTGCGAAATTCTTCTAATTAATTCCCAACAGCCAACCGTCTTCATTTCACAGCATTTCTCCTGACTATACTTTTTCCTAATCGTATCTTTCCACAGAGAAGAATGCAGAATGCATTTGGAGGTGACTCGAAATTTTAGACAGTATGCTTTGTTAGCAGCTGCTAGGCTAACGTAACATGCTAAGTGCCTTCATGTTAGCCTTTAACCTAGTTTCATTGGCCTTTTTATATCATAGCGTTCTACCGGGATTGATGCTGAAAGTTTACGGAGGTGACTTGAAATTTGAAAAAGTGTGGTATGTTAGCAGCTACTATGCGAACGTAACATGCTAACTGCTACCAAGTTAGCATTTAACCCAGTCCCATGTAGTCTTCTGAAGTCGTACCTCGTTTCAGGTTCATGACAAAGAATGCTAGTAGCTCTGAGAGTTTGTCATTCAGTCAATAATGAATTTACAGTGCAGTACTGTATGTTACAGCTGGTATGCGAAACTAAAATGCTATTAGCATGTCCATTAGTAGCTTTGTCGATGATGTGGAACACTTATGGGCCTGCGATTCGACAGATTGTCCACCGATCAACGTGCCAGGATGCGACGGCCGGCCCACTTCTAAATGGCTAGCTCGTCTTTGTGTCCACGTGAGTGCGCGTCCTGGGAGTTCACCAGTAAGATGAAGGTGACTGAAATGGCGCTTTTCCCCAAACCTTACATTGTGGGTCCCTGCGTGCAAAGCCCTCGCAGCACCACTGACATTCAATCACACCTAGCCAACATTCTCTTCCGCTCCCCACCACACACACACACACACATATAGACGCTCACACTCCTCTGAGGTGCAACCACCACTTGCCCGGGGGCATGCGCCACAGTGTCACCCTGATGTGTTTACCCAGCAGTGCGAAGGAGGAGGCAAGCAGAGGAGTCTGAGATGGATTGCAGGGGGGATTTGGGAGAGTGGTGGGCGCTGTGGCTACAGTGCTACACTTAGCGGGAAGCCATTTGAGCATCCATTCCTGCTGTTTAAGGTACTAGCATGCGTGCCGTTGTCACAAGTAGGGACAATTCACTGTGCTTGTAGAATGACTAGGGCATATTTGCTCCATTTTCTTTCACTTCTGTATGGGATTTCTGCACGAGTAGGACAAATTCTCCTGACAAATAGGACACATAGGCAAAACTGTGCACTAGTTAACATCTGTGCGCAACTATCATCACTCATGAAGCACCAACACTGCTTATCCCAGTTAACTTATGGCGAAAGGCAGACTATACCCCGAACTGGTCGCCAGTCAGTCGCAGGGCACATAGCGAGACGAGCAACCATTCACCCCCACATCGTCGCTGAGTGGGAACCGATCCCACTCTGCTGGCTTTCAAGTCAGGTGAGTGTGCCACGACATTATCAGCGACAAATTGCAAAGCTTTTCAAATGCATGACTGAAGTCCAGTAAAACTTGACACTGAGTGTGCGATGACAAAATGTGTTTCGGTTTCTTTGAACCTGCATTTGCTCCTCGCTGAAAATGCGAGTCCAAATATTTTCACTTTTATGTTATTTCCAAAGCAAATTCATTTTTCGAAATTCAAATTCAAATTAGCTGTGATGGACCTAAGCAATAGCAATTGATCGCCGATACACAGAGTTCCTCTTCGGCTAATCAGCACCTTCGTTTTTTTTTTTTTTTGAAAGTTTAACCTCCTAAGCAGCTCTTAACCTTTTATAGCACCTTTTTAAACTAGTTTTTTTCCTCACAAGTGACATTTCCCTCAAGTGGGGAACTACTAGTACACGTAGGAGAAGACCGTAAGAAGGATATCAAATAAATACTCTCAAGGCTTCTATAGGGAGGCAGAGAAAAAGCAGGGCAGGAGGAAGAATGGGTGTCGCCTGTGGGGGCGGAGGGGGGCTTTTTTTGCACCGTGTGTGTGTGTGTGTGTGTGTGTGTGTGTGTGTGTGTGTGTGTGTGTGTGTGTGTGTGTGTGTGTGTGTGTGTGTGTGTGTGTGTGTGTGTGTGACAGATGTAAAGCTAAATAATTCCCTCCCACAAGATTCCCCCTGACTGCATTGTGCTGCACACTTTCGTCTTGATGACCCAAAGCAAACATCTGCAGCAAGCCAGCGTCGGATTTAAAAAAAAAAAAAAAAAAAAATGGGACGAAAAACAAAGAGTGAAGCCAGCCTGCCCCCTAGCGAGTGCGGCGCGAACACATCTGGCGGGTGTGTGATTATTGTACATGACAGCACAATCTCTCCTGTATCCCCCGTATTGATGTTTACATGAAGGGAGTTGAGCCGCGGCTCGCGTTTTCTTCCGATTTCCATTCGGTTGGGGTGTGGAATGTTCTTTTGGAGGAGGTTTTCCATTTGAGGGTTTGGCATCAAACGCCACATTGGGATGTCAGTCAGCGCTGCAAGCGCTCCAGTGACTCATTCGCTTTCGAACCACTTTTCTGAACATACGGATGTGACTTCAATCCATGCCAATAAAAAAAAAAAAAATCATAAAATAATCATCTAAATCTGCATGTGCATGGCCATGACTCATGCTACAAAATGCAAATCTTTACTTTTTAATGGGAACTTAATGGGAGTTTGTTGTCTTATTTATTGCATTTTTTTCTAAATTTGATGTATATTGTCAGGAAAAAAAATGCAGGATTATTTGTTTCGAAGTAGTATATTTTATTTGCATTTATTTTGTTCTATGCACTGTGTATAATTGTAAAATATGTGTTGTATATGTATAACTTATGTCAAAAAAACACATATGTATTCAATCATTTTCAAATATTAAGTCACTGCAAAAATGTTTTGCTCATTGTACATTTGAATTTAAAAGTAAAAACTCATTGAATGATTCATAAAAGGAATGCAACAATAAATCCCCCAAAACATGATGGCTGTCATAAATTCAACTTTGATATCTTTTTTTTTGTTTGTTTGTTTAAATTATGGCATGTCGGAAAAGGCGGCGTCAGAGTTATCGAATCCCTTTTGCTCGTTCATCTAATTGTTGCCATGCAGGTCTGCTCAGGTCAGGATGGATAACAGACATTATGAAGTGAGGGTGAGAGAGGGGGTTGGGGGGGGGCTCAGGCTGCATGCTTATTCACGCTTTAACGAGATGTAGCTTAATGAAGCAAGCGTTCCCTCAAGGTTTCCCCCTCGATGCCTTATCGGAGCTGCACCGCGCTTCCTCCGCAGTGATATATCGCTCCCTCTCTCCCTCCCAACACAATAAAGCCTTTGTTTATTTGCGCACGAGGAGATAACCCTCCTGCAGGTGGCTCACTTCCCGGGGAACAACAACACACGTCTTTGTTTGTGCCACCGCAGCACTGATGGAGGGGGGCAAAACTTTTACTAGGCTCACTTGCTTTTTCCCCCCCACCCATCCCGGCTGTCTCTTGTTGACGTGCGTGTGCGTACGTGTGGTGGCAGAGTGTTGGATAAAAGATGCCAACAGGTATACCCTCCAGGGTAGCTTTGAGGCATTTATTTTAGTCTCATCAGTATCACTCTGAGGATGAATGAAGTTGAACCGGGGCTTTACAAATTTTTCATTTGAGGGCTGCAAAAGGGTGCAAGGGGAATCTAATTAAAAAAGAACAAGCAAGCGTATCAAGGAAAATGCTACTGTGTGTGTGTGTGTGTGTG